GAATTCAGGTGTTGCTAAAGATGGGAGGCAAAGCATTTCAACCAACCATCGGAATATTGTTTACCATATGTGGATTTTTTTTTCCTGTAAGTGTGCTCCTTAAGACTTGTTGCAGTGATACCAGTGTGCATGTGTTCATGCGAACTCCAAGAACGTATCCTGTGTGGTGAAACACGCATCCGGCAGTTTTTTCCGTTGGGAAAAAACTTTTCGAAAAAGGAGCATGTTGTGATAAGTGAAGTGCGCGTTTCGTGAAGTGCGCGAGTGCAACCAGTGTTCGGTTTAAAATGTGCGCGAGTGCACCGGCATAGGAAAGAAGACGACGACGACCGATGGTGTGGACGCGCGCTTTCGCTATGTATTCGGTGAGGAAGACGATGGGCAGACGAGGCGCGTGAAGTTCGGACCAATGAGAGGCCCCCACGCTGGTTTGGAAGAAGCCCGAACGAAGAACGGGCAGACGTGGCCGGGACGCGACGGTGGCAAGCAGGCTACCAGGGCGCGGGGGTGGCGGCCGAGTTCCTGAGGCAAGGCGGCTGCGGGCTCCCACCTGGTCGGGTACCCGAGCATCATCTATCGTCTGGCGTTGGCCAGGCTGCTCGTCGTTTGGCGTAGGCCAGGCTTCTCACCATCTGGCTTTGGCCAGGCTCGTCCCGTTTCCAGGGCTACGTCCCAGCGTCGGAGGAAGAACGCTGAGAGGTCACTGACCTTGGTGCGCCCGGAGCTACCTTCAACCACGAGCAACGCTTGGACCTCTGATCTACCTTGTCTGCACCCCATCGCATCAACACTCGCCGTCTACAAGAGTGCCGCGACTGAACGGTGACAGTCGCTTTTGCTATTGCGGAACTTACGCATCCTTAGCATTTCGTGGTCATTAGGTTAATTTCTCCTCGAATTTGTGTGCTTTGTTTGCTTTTCCTTTTATTCCTTTCTCTTTATCTAGTTTATTGAAAATATATTTAGTTGTTTTTCTTGTGTGCATAAACGGTCTCATGTTCTCTTTACCGATGTGGGTTTTCTCATCGGTTTGTTTGCACAAGAACCTACACGAGAGCTTGTGGGTTGACTAGCCTCGTGACAGCCAGTCATGTTCGCCGCGACTAGCACTGACACTCTCTCTTTGCTTCTTTTGCCTCCAGAACAGTTGTCGTCTTTAAATGTCAGGGTCTTGTCCGGTAGCAGCCGATAAAAAAGCGCAGTCTCGTCTGCATTAAAAATGTCTGCCGGCTGGTATTCTTCGAGGTACTCGCGAAGCTTGCCCGCTTTCCATGTCAGGCACGTTTCCTCATCGACTGACGCCTTCTCCCCACACACGCTTTTAAAAATCAAGTCGTGGCGATGTTTGAAACGCGTAAGCCACCCATCCGAAGTAGCGAAGTCGTTGATGCCCAACATTCCAGCAAGCGATGATGCTTTTGCCGTGACGACTTCACCACTGAGAGAAAGTTTGTTGTTTCGTGCCTCTCTGATCCAAATCAGCAGTGCTTCCTCCAACTCGGGGTAGGTGCCGGTGCGCATCCGCTTTCGCGATGTCTTGAATTTTTCACTTTCAAACGCATCCAATATTGAGCGCTTATTCTTTATGAAAGACGACAGCGTGTTAGGCTTAATGCCGTACTTTCTTACAATGTCTTGTTTGGCGGTGCCTCCCTGGTCAACTTCCTTCAAGACTTCGACTTTCGTCGCTAGGTCTAGCGTTCGGTAAGGGCCACGAGTTGCCATTATCAAACGTACGTCACCACCACAACACTCAAAATCAGAAGCGCAGAAACACGTGTGGAATCAACCCAGCGCGCGGATGACGCGGTGACACACTCGAGTCTCAACAAAAGTCAACTAAAGAGTCAGTCGATGCCGCCGATGCGATCCGCCAGCGTTAAAAAGATTTCCGCTTCAAGATCTGTGGCGCTGCGGACAGTAGTGCTGGCGAAGACACCAGCGCGGTCCGGCAGATGTTTTGGCATATGAAAAGTTCCCCATTTTACTGTAAAATTACGGTCGCGACGAGACGGTCAATTGAAAAAACTTCTAATTGACCAATATTGTGGGTTTTTAACTTCGAATTATTGAGCATTTTTTTCTATACGATTGCATGCAAAACTGATGGGACCACTTGCTCATTTCTAATTAACCCAAACTTCCAATTAAGCGACTTCGAATTACCGGGAGTCGACTGTACTACGCTCTATGTTCCACCATGGGATGCGTCGCTTGCCGGGCAGTCCAGATTCTTGCAGGATGCACTTGGCTGCTGCATCAGCAAGAAAAGCTGTGAAGTACTGCACAGCTTCATTTATGTTCAACCCACATATGCCAGTTGAACTTAAACGAGTAGTGTTGTGAAACTGTTCCCAGTCGTCTTTGTTTATCAGCCATTTGGGAACATGGGGAGGACATTCATATAATGTTGGTGTACTCAAAACTACAGGAAAATGGTAACTTCCATACGAATTATTTATGATTTTTCATTTCAGTAGGGGTAGAAGTGAAGGATACACGATACTGAGGTCAGTAGATGAGTATATTTTGCAGGCAATGTTATAGTACATTGGCTCTTTCCTATTTAACAGACAGGCACCAGAAGAGAAGAGGAACTGTTCATAGAGACAACCTTGCGCATCACAGCAAAAATTACCACACAGACCATTGTGCATTCAGGTCCCCAAGGACCAGATAAGGTTCTGGTAGTTTGTCTATTAAAGACTGGAATTCATGTTTTTCAAGACGGCGGTGCGGAGGTATGTACAAAGAGCAGACGGTGACGAGCTTGTTTAGAAGAACTGCTCGGACAGTTACCGCCTCAAGGGAAGTTTGAAGGGGTAATTGCGCATACATGCTATACCTTGACTAACTATAACAGCTACACCACGGGATGATGTCATGGCATCATCGCGGACCTTTCGGAAGATTACATAGTTATGTAGGAAGTTCGTGTGTGTTCATTTTAGGTGTGTCTCTTGTACACACTGCACTCTTGGATTGTGTTCATGGAGGAGTTCTTGTAGGCATCGAGGTTTCAGAGAAGGCCTCAGATGTTCCATTCTAATATTTGTCTGCATATCAAGAAAAGATGCTGTAGTGTGTACAGAGAGTATCCTGTCTTGAGGTGAGCTTGTTGATTCAGGTGGCAGAGTGGTCGTCCGGCCCCGTTATTGGCTTTTTATTTCTCTTGGCGTGCTCCAAGGAGCCATGCCGCTCTTTTGGCACCAAAGATACCGTCATATCCATTGCCTCCTCGGAGGCAATGGATACCCGCACGTGCAAGATGGTGGTTTGAATTTTAGGCCTTGTCTGGTGAGGTGAGGCTTTGAGACCAGAGGATCCTGGAGTCTCCGGTCTTGATTCACTAGGAGGAGGAGTAGACTGAACTGCTGCCGCCTTGGGGGCAGGCGCCACAGCCGACGGCTCGCTCTGCATTGGCCGAAGGAGTGGCGAAGGCTGGTGCGGCAGTGCCCCCTGACGCACCGTATCAGCTAATGTAGGTACATAGAATGGTGATACTCTTCGCCGTGCTTCCTTAAATGAAATGTTCTCTTTCACCTTCAATGTACTTATCTCGTTTTCTTTCTTCCAGCATGCACAGAAGTGTCAATATGTGGCATAATTTCCTAGGAGCTAGCGAGTTCAATGCTTCGTTGCTTGCGAAGAAGCACGTGGCCACGAGTGCGCTAGCGCGTCGTTCTTTCCCGCAGTCTCGCCGTGAGCAGAGTTAGGCCTAAAGACGGCTCGGATGATGCGTCGTGCAAAAAACAGCATGCCCGCTCGTAGTAATCTGATCATGAATCCATTTACAGCTTCATTGTTTGCAAAGAAGCACGTCGCCACGAGTGCACTAGCGCGGCGTTTTTGCCCGCAGTGCCGCCGTCAGCGGAGTTTAGCCTAAAGACGACTCCTATGACGCGCCAGGCTGATAACACGCCGCGCTCGTAAACTGCATGCTTGCTCGTAGTAATCTTATTGTGCATCCGCTTACAGCTCCTAACTAAAGCGTAATTATATCCTAAGTGATAGTCGAGCCATGAACACGTCGTGAAGTAGCGAGTTTCGAGAGCCATGTCCTCGCGACGCACAAGCAGCAGACGATGATCTGCCGGAGCGAGCATCGGGCCAATGGGGAGGCGAGCCGAAGCAACATGGCGGCCACAGCTAATCAGAGGCCTCAAAATGACCTTCAAACATTTGCTTTTTGTGCGTCTGTTTTTAAAGACAGCAGCCAGGTGAAGCGGGAGATTTAAACACGGAAAATTTCTCTTTCCAATGAGCCCAAGAAGCAGGCTCACAGCCGCGCCATCGCGTTGCTATATAATTTTTTTTAAAATCGCTGTTTTCAAGTGATTTCCGGAAAATAGTTTCGCTACCTAGGAGGGTGAAACGAATTTTCCGAAACACTTCTGCGCGCTTTTAAGTGTAGATATTTTGGAATCAGATAGAAAAAGGGTTCCAGGAACTGAAAACTTGAATTAAAAAAAATGAATTTTTTTTGCCATTTTTCGCAATACCAAAGCCGCATCTCCCCTTAACAAGCTTTTACTTTGCTTCCACCACATGTCGCATTAATATCTAAGGTTCTAGCTTTTTTCTGAGGCCAATTGAGAATTTGGAGCAGTGTATCACTAAGACGTGCCCTTCAAACAGAATGGCATCTATATTAGATAACTTTAGGAAGACAATCGCTTGATACTATGCATGATTATAATAAGGAAGTCTTGCACTAAGAGGGTTGGCTTACCATTTATGACCTTGCTATAAATCTTGTGACAGAGACAGCCACTGCTCTTCTCACATTAAAACTTCATAAAAAAATGAGCATGTGGCAAAACTAGGAAAATTTCAAATTGTATGTTGTTTAGTGGTTTTCAATAGTACCCTTGGGGGAAATTTCGTAGTGATCCTCTATGGGAATGAACGTCCTAGTTTTTTTTTTTTTCGTTTTTTTAATGCAAATAACATTGTCAAAATGCTATAGTAAATAATAGGGTAGAACCAAAAGCACTCACTCATTTTTTTCAGGGTTGTAGCATTCCACTGTGTTTAATGAAGATATTCCATCATAACCACCGCACACATACAGCTTGTCGTGAAGCACAGCTGCACCCACAGCACTACATAGAAAGATGGAACATTTATTTGCATAAAAACTAGCAGAAGTTCAAGCAAGAAAAGCGCAAGTTGCATAATATACATTATTTGGTCTAAAGATACAGTGTACTCATAAATCATGTGTGGTATTGGAAGTTTGCCTTAATTATTTTATGTTTTTAAATTAATGTTTTTTTCAATGATGATATCCAAACACACATTTTCGCACATTAAGTGACCGGAAAAAATAATTGTGGACAGTAATTGAAGAGCTCTGCAACGAGAGACTAAATTATGCAGAAACACTGTAGCAACATTCAAACAAAAAAACAGAACATCAGAGAAAGATGGAAGCTTGGAGAGATGGAAAATTCGTGAACACGGGTTGTCTCTTAAGCCAATGTTTCAACAAGCAGACTTGTCTTCTTTAATGCTGCAACTGTTATCTTTAATGTATTTTTATGTATTTAATGTTATCTTTAATGTATTTAAAAAAGGAGATTGACGTTTCAGTGAATTATGGTTGCCACAAGAAAGCCCATTACCTGACAATAATAATTTCACAATGTTCCGTATTGTAGATGAGATCATTGTTGATTGTAACAGCCATCGTGTACAAGGAGAAAAAATAAATAAATAAAAATTCAGGATCAAGCGGGATTAGAACCTGGATTCTCTCTGCGTTGTACTTGGGTACGATACCAGAGCCATATACCTCTGCTTGAAATTCCTTCAAAAAAGAAAACCTATACGGAAGTCATGTCGGGCAAGGCATCACATTACCATTTGTAACATAGTATGGTAGAAGAAGAAAATAACACCAGGTGTCCCAAAATGTGCATTGTATAATGGGTGGGTTGTTTAAAGCCTCCAAATCAGTAGAAGAAGCTTAGACATATTTTTTTGTCATAAGCCACCGCATCAACAAAGTGCACACACAGATGCGTAGCAGGTACCTCACTTGATGGCAGAATGATGAATGGCATAGTGGTTAGTTTCCTCTTAGCAAAATTATGATTTGTGGTGTAGTACATGTCTTGCAGCTGTACTAGTAGCTTCACCCCACGAGAGGTTACAATGGGCTCTACAAAGGCCACTCCTTCAGCTTTTGCTGCGACTGTGCTGCATTTCTCGCCCAGGCCTGGCATTTCTTTAACTACCAAAATAACGGGATATTGACAGGAATCCGACAAAAAAAATCTGTGTCAGAAAAAGGATTGCCTGAAGGATTTTTCACCATCAATCAATGATGAATCAATGCCACTGGTTCTCTTAAAACATAAAGCAAAAGTAAACCCCACAAATAATTTGGAAGATGTCCTCAAAAAGCAGATGCTGCATTGGGCTGAATCATACTTTGGCCATCAGGATTCAACTCAAGTTCACATGGCCAAAGTGGTACACCCATCTTCCATGAAAGAGTTCTAAAATAAATTTCAGCTTCATGTTACTTCTGGCTATGGCTCTCATTTTTGTGGCACGTGATGGCTCTCAATGCTGCACAACCATTGGGCTAAGTGGTTTCGTTCAGTAAACACGATAGAATGTTGCATTCCTTTAAGCAACCTGCAACATTGAGATGACAAGTTGTGGAGACAGAATCGGCGCAATAGCTTTATCCCAACAGTGCATTAGAGCTGTTCGCATGTTTTTTCTTTTTTACCAGCTCTACATGTAATGTGGAGCAATGTGCAGAGGACTTCACGAGAGCGACGTGAAATTATAATTACTGAATCTCTGGTTCGTCAAATTTTTTAATTACTGAAATCAGTTTTTTTTGTTGTGCCTTTTTATTTGAACATTTTTGCATCACCTTCTGGTTGATAGAAAAAAGAATTTCGATGAACTATAATATGCCTAAAACACCTTAAATTAATTGAAGTTTCAATATATATAAAAAAGCCAGCATCACAGATGATGTTATATTGGGGTTCAACAGTAATTACAAGGCTGCCTGATAATACAACTGATTCGCAACAATTACATGCAATTCGTTACATACAGTTATGGAGTCCCAATGTAACTCTGGCAACAAGAACCATTCTTATTTTCAGAAACACACTGTGCTATTTTATCACATAGCTTGCTCTGCCCCTCAAAAGATTCAGTACACCGCTTGATCACAACTTCCCGAGCAGTGCTCTTTCATTGGTATAAATATTTAAAATGATGCAAGAACTTTATGCAGGGAAGTCAAGAGAAGTGCACATGCTTACATCTTATTAATGCCATGGAACTTAAAGGAGAAAATTGGAGAAAACTGAGGTCACGGTTTCTTCTAAATTTCGCGTCGAAATTATTGAACATGATATAAAAAGTTTCAAAGTGCACTTTTCGTATTATGGTGACATTGGCTCAATGAAATTGCCTGAAACTGGGTAAATTAAGCCTGTCTCCCTCAGCTGACAATGTACTTTAATTTCACTGATAGAAAATTACATTGGAACTAGTAGACGCTGTCAAAATATATGACGTCACGAAGCTTGATGCAGAAATTTCAACGTGGAGTCTCACATGCTTTTTCTTTTTGCGTATTTTCTTGCTTACCAAGTGCATTCTAATGTCTAACACAGTGATTTTAGAATTTTGAAAAATTAGTTTGCTAATATAAAAAAAATGTTTTACTGTTTAGTGTCCTTTCATTATAGAGGCATATCAAGGTGCAAATGCACCTGTTCCAAGTAAACTTTGCGCAGATGAAAACTACTGATAAAAAGAAACAGTATACACAAAGACACACCTGCGCTTGCAATTCATTGATGCTACCCGGCTCCAAATGCGGCTTTCAGGGCTAAACACTTCTACAGTGCGAAGTCGTTCCAAGCCATTGTAGCCACCAATGGCGTAAAGTTTTCCTCTAAGTACAGCAACACCAACTCGACTTCTAGTCATTGACATTGCTTCGGCAACCTGCCAGTGCCCGATCTTGGGATCATAAACTTCTACAGTACTCTGAGAATCACCTGCAAAAACAAAAAATAAAGAGTTCAGACATGTAACAGCAGCTGGCAGTGCAGCGTAAAGTACGAGAGACAAAAGAAAATGTAAAGAAATGCCAAATTTTTTTTTAGCATCTTGTTCATAAGCCAAGTTTCTCACATTTTGTTTCAGTTGTAGGCTTGAAGACAATAAAGTTTGATCAGGCCTCCGAGACTCTCAAGTTTCCGCAATGGCCGTAGAGGGCAAAAAAATCAACCATGGCGAGTTTCGTCATATGCGCGTATAGTGGAACTACTAACTCCTCTTTGAGCGGTCGGATAAGTTAGTGTGCATTTTCCCTGTTAGGGGCGCTCAACGCGGCTGAAATTTTTATTTCTGGATGTATAAAAAAACCGTTAAAAAAGTAGTTACTACGTCGTTTTTCATAAAAAATTGAATAAAATATTTTTGCATTACTTTTACTAATAAAACAGAAGTGGTGATTGTTTCAGTTCAAGTACCGAGATTATTCTGATGCTTGAAAAGCAGCAGCCCATTGGCATCGATTGCGTTTCTGTCAGTTAATATGTTCAAATTGTCCGCGGCACTTTTTGTCGATTGGCATTGCAAAGCTCCATTTAAATTCAGCTTTGATATATCAATGTGAGCTCGTGTGTCAGACTTTATGGGCCGCTACGATGAAGCGGAGATTGCCTACAAACACGAAATAATCTTGCACAATGTGGGTGTGTTTGCCGGTGGATGAAAATGCGCTGCTTTGCATCTGAACATGGCCCTTTTCTTTTGCATGCACAACAGTTTTTGTCATTTCATAAGGCTTTTCGACTTGTACATCTAATGAGATGCACACCTTGTGAATGTTTGAGATTTTTTACTTCATTGTCACATTTGCTGAAAATATCTTTACTGCTAAAATTTGTAACAGAGATCACAGCATAAGTTCTACCTGTTTCTGCTCAAAATGAGTCTCCTGCAATATATACTCATAAATTCCATGCATAGTAGAGCCAAGAGAATCTTTAGTACATATACGCATTTGTACATTTTTTGCAAGTTTACAATGAAACATTACATTTGCATGAACCATATAGTCCATCCAGGTAAGGAATTATCTAGCTTCGTCCTCTAAAGAACGTCACAAATTCATTATAATGCCATCCACAAGACAAATTCACAAAAAACAGCAATGTTATGTCCACACTACCTTTCTTATATGCTGTGTTACCATATAAATTCTTCTTAGTCATGCATCACAAATCCGTTCACGCTTCTACCAGAGTAACCAGGACTGTTCTTTTTTTTCTTGCAACCCAACTGCAGCCTTCAAAGAACTGCTCATATCAGTGTATGCTTGGATGCCTCATCACTCTGAACCTACCTCAAGTCAGCAGAGAATGTGTCATCACTGAAAGCAAGCTCATGGGCTAAAACCCTTGTAAGGCATGGTTGAAGGCACTTTATTTATTGAACATATTTTCTTCAACCATTTCTGTCGTACCCTGCTCATGACTCTGTTTTTTTTCTCAGAAAACTGGACTAAAGAGAGACCATTAATTTTCAAGCCACCCACATCCAGTAGCGAGAAGTTCAACAGTTGCCATAGTGACAACCCCATGTGCCACCAATATGGCAGGCAAACAAATGGAAGCCTTATACTGAAAAGCAGTGATGGCGTACGGTATGCTCAAGCTGTACGAAATTGGGTGCAGAGATTGTTGTTTCTCACTTTATGAATTACTCAGTTTAGAGAAAATATGCACACTTCAAAATTCTTGGACAGTGCATGCCATGGGGTGCACATACTGTACTTCACTCTACGTGTCAAACTTTGCATAGAGTATCACATATAACTAGGTAACAAATGGGCTTGTAGTAGTGCATATTTAGCAGCACTTCTGTTTCACATTGTGTATAGATTGCTGTGAATGTAAAGACTGTTGCAAGGCAGCGGTAGGTACAACTATAGTAGTGTTGAGACAGTTACTGATACCGCGTTCATGTTGAAAGTAACACTATGAAAGTGCTAAAAAAAAACTGTGCAAAAACTCGTGCCTTCATTAAACAAGACATGTCTTGCAGAGGTAGCAATTGCGGAGCCAAACCATGAGAGTAAAATACGTAGAAGAACAAGGAAGGATAAAAATGGGTGGATCACATTCGGCAAGAATTCTCAAATCATGAATGATAACTTGTCACTAACCCACAAGCAGAAGGTATCTAACAGTTGCGTTTTGCCCTTACTTACCTACGGAGCAGAAACCTGGAGGCTTACAAAGAAGGTTCAGCTTACATTGAGGACGATGCAGCGAGCGATGGAAAGGAAAATGATAGGTGTAACCTTATGACACAAGAAGAGAGCAGAGTGGGTCAGGGAACAAATCTGCGTTAAGGTTATCGTAGTTGAAATCAAGAAGAAATGGACATGGGCTGGGCATGTAGTACGCAGGCAGGATAACCACTAGTCATTAAGGGTAACTGACTGGATTCACAGAGAAAGAAAACGCACGAAGTGAAGACAGAAGGTTAGGTGGGCCGATGATATTAAAAAGTTTGTACGTATAACGTGGCAGCAGAAAACACAGGACCAAGCTGATTGGCCGTTTATAGGAGAGGCCTTTGTCTTGCAGTGGGTGTAATCAGGCTGATAATACGCCAAAAACAAGCACAGACATGCACGCAAGCAGTGAGCGTTAGTGTTTAAACATATGTCAATATTTGTGCTTCAAAACATGTTTGTTTACATGACAGAGTTAACGCAATCAAAATGCAAAGGAATCAGTAATTTGCATTCGCTTGCATTTTTTCCACTGTGACTCCACGACCATCATTCCTAGCTTGTCCAAGGGCTCCAGTTCAGCATCCAAAATTTCATCTGCTGAGAAATGCTGCTGTTCGGTTGTTTTCCTCCTCTAATAACTTTAGTTTGGTTTGTTTTTGCAAAATGTTGTGATCACTCTGGACAGACTTGTGCGAGCAGCAACGCAAACAAGGGCTCCCAGTTCGAATTAGCTGTTGTGGATACCAATGTGTTCAAACTGTTGAGAGATTTCCCCCAATATAAATACACAGGGCTGTGTGCTTTTACTTAACCGAGTTGATTGATTTGATTGATTTGTGGGGCTTAACGTCCCAAAACCACCATATGATTATGAGAGACGCCGTAGTGGAGGGCTCCGGAAATTTCGACCACCTGGAGTTCTTTAACGTGCACCCAAATCTGAGTACACGGGCCTACAACATTTCCGCCTCCATCGGAAATGCAGCCGCCACAGCCGGGATTTGATCCCGCGACCTGCGGGTCAGTAGCCGAGTACCTTAGCCACTAGACCATCGTGGTGGGGCTACTTAACCGAGTTCAAATAACGCTCTTATACTGTAATATTATTTGTTCTTTATAGAATACTTGATGCATGACAAGGCATTTTTAAAGGTCTGATAATTTTTAACAAAACAATGACTGAGTGCACTCAGTAGGTATAATCAAAGTTGGCCAGTGTTCGTATATGTTGATAATTCGAATATCTACTAACAGCTATTTTCTTGATATTGCTGTGAAATATGTAGCCAAAAGGACTAGTTTTGTATGATACCCGTGTTAAAGAGTGAGGCAGACAGTTAGGAAGTAGTGAAGAATAAAAACTTGAATTCAGCTTCTGCCGTAGTTCATCGTTTGAGCAGTGTCTGATGACTATGCACCATTGGCACAAAAAAAAACTTTGAAGGTCATTCAAGAAGTAAGGGCCATTTAGTTCCAAGCAAGTAAATATTCATTAGCAAAATTTTTTATTGGTGGGCTTAGTTTAGCAAAAACCTATTTCATTTTTCTACAAAATCATTGCTAACTTCTTAGTGCGGTGGTGGTGGTGGTGGTGGTGGTGGTGGTGGTGGTGGTGTTGCAGCAGGCGGGGTCAGCCTGGCCTGCATGGCCGGCAATTGTTCCGCCTGAGCATCTCCTTAATTTGGAAAATGTCACCACGTGTCAGACAGCCCAGTGTCTCGCAGGAAGACCAACAAAGTTCGTTGCACGTTCCTCCTAGTTGCCGCGGGTCCTTCAGGAAAGATGATGTCATCAACTGTCCGGTGCCTATGACAGCCTTTTCGCAAGGTGCGGATCATCGCTGCTCTTTGCGCATCAAACTGTGGGCAAAACCAAATGAAATGTTCAATATTCCCGATGTCACCACAGAAGGCACAGAACGGGGAAGCGTATCTCCAAGTCTTGAATGACCAGGCCGGGGTGTATGCGGAGCCGGTTCTAATGCGGTACAACAGCGTCGCTTCTTCACGAGAAAGTCCATGAATTACACATGCTTGGTGTGGAAACCTGTAGATCGCCTTGAAATGATTGCGTATCACATCTTTGTTGTTCTGGTAAGTCTTGGGAGTTCTTACTTTTGGAAACGATGTACGTGCTTCGCATGCAAGGGCATCAGCCTTTTCATTGCCCTCAATGCCAACGTGGGATGGGATCCACTGGAACTTTATATTAAAACTCTTGCCATTTAGGTGTTTGATTAGTGCCAGAGATTGCCTGGTGAACTTTTCTTGAGGTAGGCCACGATGCAGTCTTTGTAGCGCCGATTTGGAGTCCGTCAGCACTACAAAATCTCGTGCAGAAAAGGATCGCAGTTTTCGCAAAGCCGCCGTAATTGCAGCGCTTTCTACCGTTGTGGACGAAACCACGCGATCCAGGCGGCCCGACCATGACACGCCCAGGCTGGGTATGCAGAAAGCCGCTGCGCAGCTATCAGTCTGTGTGCACACTGATCTGTCGGTGTACACTTGTAGGTGGCAACGGTACATGGTGCTCAAGTGGTCCAGCGCAAGAAATTTTGCTTCCGCGGCTGGAATGGTGCGCTTCGCTGGTAGATTGGGTACGCTGAAGTTGCACGCAACATCCACAAAAGACCATGGCGGGTCCATAGGGCGCCGTTTAGGCAGTTTCAAGCCTAAATATTGAAATGTGTTTAGTGCCGCGTTGAAATGTGAGCCAGTTCTTGCTCTTAGCCGCCGGAGAAGCGCC